TGTATAGCTGCTTTTTCTGATTTTTATGTTGCTCTGTTCTGAATACCTGAAAATGTAAAGGATTTGCTGCAACGCAATTTTGTCTGATATGTGAATTATTTATTAGCCTGTTTTTTTTTACCCATGCATCAAATGCTTTAAAAACAGCTTTAAAATGACTTTATTGCATTCCAGACGCTTTTATAGTACTTTCACTATAAATTTTACGGGTAGCTTGAATGTAAACATTGTCATGAATTCGTTGTATTCCCATTTGTAAAATAGCCAACAAATTAATTGTTGTAGGCTAAGCCGATCTCATGAAAGTGTGTATAGCACGATTTTCTGCTTCTATTTGGCGTAATATTTCTATGCAGAAATTGACTTTGGCATGCAAAAGACTGATACATTCATAATTAATGGCATGGCTGGTTCAGTCGACAGAAATATGGGACACACAGGCCTATGATAACTGCTGAAATGTTTGCGGAGCAAATCTGAGGTCAGTCTGAGCGCTCATGGTACTCACAGTGCCGTACACCTGCAGGCGCCACTGACTCGGACAGTTGTCGTGGTAATAAACACCACAAACAGCAACCGTTCGCGCGTCAGCGCTTAATGCACATATCCTATATGAAAAGCATTTTAGGGGGCCCTTGGCTTTTGGGGGCCCAAGGCGGTCACCTACCTTTGCCTAATGGGTAAGTCCGCCCCTGACCACTTCCACTTAAGGCCTGCATGCCTCGACATGTGTTATTAACAAAGATCTGCACATATCCAACAATGGAGAATGAAGTTAGTGTGATGTGAGTGTGAATCTCTTCCCGCAGGACTGTCATATGGAGCTGAATGACGAGGAGGGTCACCGCTGCTATCCTCTGGACGGACGCCTGCTCTGTCACACGTGTCACCTCAAACACATCGACCCTGCCGCCCCGCCGTCTACAACAAACAGCTACCACAGTCAGTTTTAAACATCTGCCTCCCCCTAGTGGGTGTTCAGAGACATCACTGTTTGCCAAAGATGCTCAGATATTGCATTGCCAAAAGTCACAGCTGAGATTGAGATTATAAACTGTGTGAGACACATTATTATATATTGTATTTTGTCTGAATTATTTACCGTACTGTTTTCTTTTCTTTGCATTTATTAATATATGCATATTAGATTGGATTAAAAAAGAAAATAGTTTAGCCTTTCTTGTATAATATAAATGCTGTAAACAATAAACCATTGGCGTAAGCAAAAATGTTGCTACAGATTTTTGTAAATAAAGCAACCATTACATATATTATTACAAAACTTCATCTGAATTTCTCGAATGGCACCTAATAGTGTATAAACCTTTATTTAATTAAAGGCGTGCTCAGTAATTGATTTGTTTCTCTTGTGCTGGACAATATGGTCATTGTTTTAGACTTATAATGACACCAAGCAGTGGAGATGCTGCATCAAAAAGCTATGCTTTGGTTACTGATGCCATTGCAGACATGCCCAATACACAGTCAGCCACAATTTATTACACAAGAGAAGGTGTTCAATAAGAAGGAACTTTTTCAATGAGGAAAAAATTACTGAGTGCACCTTTTAACAGACCAAAGAAATAGACATGCCTATTTATGAATGTATATTTATTATAATAAACCTCCAGTTGCATGAACATTAGGTAGTAAGCTTTTAATTTTGTGTCAGATTCCATTTCGATTTAACAGACAAACATGAACATTAATTGTTTTTTCCAAAAGCTAATGCGAATACTTGTGAATGTGTACCAACACAAATTTTCTGAGTGATCACATCAGTTGAATGACTTAACAACAGTGACAATCTGTCATTTGAAATCAAACTGACCTTATTTACTTTATAAAAGTGTGAGTTTTATTATTCAGCCATGCAATCAGGTCCATTTAAAAAATGGAATATTGTTTTTTTTTAATAATTAATAAATACTCTAATTTGGCGCTTGGTGTTAATTGTGGGCCCTGCTTAGAAGTCATAGAAGAGGTTCATCAACTGTTATTCTGAATACTTTGAAATGTTTTTATTACACTATTGCACTTGGACAGAGTTCAGCAGTTCACTACAACTGTACCGATGGCAGGTCAAACCCACATCTTACCTGATTGGAAGACTTGACACCAATTACTCTCAATTTAAGGCTGTTATTTCAGACCTAGAGACCTCTGTTCTTTGTACATTTAGTTCAATAAAGATTTGTTATAATACAATGTTGGGTTGTTTGCTAAGTTTGGTGAATCTGATCACAAAAGCTATTGTTGAGAAATTCAGATCATTTAAATATGTTCCCAATTTTGTTTCACAAAACACCAGATTAAGATGTGACCAGACAAATGTAACTCCAGTTTAGCTCACCTATATATTGTTTAAAAGTTACCACTGGAAAGCCTTTAATCAGTAACTCATTTATATGCCTGTTGTTTCTTTGGTTTTCACGGTTAAGCTGTTGATTGTGTACAATGCCTTAAATTCTCAAGGGGCCCGTTCTTCGTACATCGCTTATTATATCCGAGATTAAATGTCACATCCAAGATGATATCATCGCGCTAATCAGGATCTGGCTAATTCGGTTCTTCGAACGCAGCTGTTGTTGATGATTAGTATGGCTGGATTGAGTTATCTGAGATAATTACACGTTCATGGGTTGGTTTAAAAGGGGCTATGTATCGATACTCGAAACCACGATCAGCAAAGCAGCGATTGGCTGGCGGCAAGACAGCAACGTAATGATATTTCTTGTCAAATTATTGTCCCTGGATCAGTAGGGTACTCTTGTAATAAAGTAGCGGTGGTAAAGGACAGATTTCAATTCTGCTTAAAAAGATGCAATCTAATCCTGTTTACATGAAATAAACCTGCTCCCGAGCAGGTTTAAATTTACGGACCTGTTGCTATGACAGCAACTCCGGGATGAGCTTAGAAGAACCAAATAATCCAAGATCATGCCAAATCGTCAACAATCAAATCCAGCTAACTGAGTTAGCGATGTA